GCGGGCAGCGGCGCTCCGAGCCGGGGCAGGTGCGGCGTGAGACGGGCGCTGCGCAGCCAGCCCTCGGTAAACCGGTGCGGCTTTGCTGCAGCTCTGGAGTGTGACTTGGCCACGAATCTGGTGGGGCAGCCGCTGGTGAGGCAGCAGGTGATGAAGGGAGTGAGGGAGTTCCTGGAGAAGCAGAACCCTGTGAAACCCCTCGTGATGTCCTTCCACGGCTCGACGGGAACAGGCAAAACCTACGTCAGCTCCATGCTCGTCCGCTACCTCTTTCAGGGTGGGCTCCAGAGCCCCTACGTTCACCAGTTCTCTCCAATCGTGCACTTCCCCCATGCTGAGCGGATAGAGCAGTACAAGGTAAGGGACGCCTCTGGGCACAGTAGTTCTTGCTTGGGGTTCTCTTTGGTTATGGCCACCTTGATCCTCAGTACATACGCATTCGGGCTGTTTCCTGAAATAAGGTAGGAATAAAAGCTCTTTGTTTTCCCCTGTCAGCCGAGCAAGTGGCTCCACACACTGGCTGAAGGATCCACTTAGTAACTGATAGACTTTGGTACTCGGTTATCACTTTCGTCTTCCCCACAGCAGTCCTCACCATGATCATGTTCTCATCCTTAAATATTTACAGAGCCCTTTGAACGCACAAACAAAAGTGCTTTGCTTAGATGAAAGTCACTAAAATTCTCCCATTGCTTTCCAAACAGCTCGATGGCTGTGAAAACCTGCGTATCGCTAGACTTTGTAATCCCCTCATGGAGCAAGCAGCTCCTGAACAGCAGCTCTACACCCTTAACTGTGCCACCCCGTCTCATAAAGCTGAGAGAGGGAAGAAATCAGAATGTGAAGGTTAGCTGCCAAGCCCTCAGCAGAGTGGAGAATCAGTGCATGTGGGCATTTGCTTTCTGTGTGTTTGGAGAAGTTATTTGTTGTATTGTGTCCTTAGAAGAAACACTCTCAGGAAAGTAAAACCCATACTGGATGAAGTGCTTCAGTTAAGAGTTATACATGCCCCCAGGCGACATGAGTGGTTTTGTGTGGGTTGGCACCTACGCTGAAGTAATGTCTGCCATGGTAAAGAAACAAAGTTCTTCTGGGTCAGCACAGGCATGCGTGTTTGCCCCAGAACAGGAGCTGGCAAAAAGCATTCAGTAATGGCACTGTGTAGATACACAGTGAAAGAAGAACGTGAGGAACTGTAGGAGTCTGAATACCCAGCTTTAGTTTGCTGCCTCCTTCTTTAAGTCTGTAGTAAAACATCTACAAAAGGCTAATAAAGCCAGTAACAGCCACTGTGCCAAACAGAGAATAAAGGCAGCCTCCCCAGTGCCGATTGTTCCTGCTCCGAGTGGATGGTGCTGCACAGGGACAAGCTGCTTTCAGCACCTTCATCTCAGGTCTTCGCTCTGGGCTAGCTTGAGCCTCCCTCACTGCCCGTGGTATCTCACTGCTTTGCGGCTTGGTGGGTATTTTTCCCAGGAGAACCTGAAGCGCTGGATCCAAGGGAACTTGACAAACTGTGGACGGTCGGCCTTCCTCTTTGACGAAGTGGACAAGATGCACCCGGGTCTGATCGATGTGATCATACCATTCCTGGGACCCTCGTGGGTTGTGTACGGGACCAACTACCGCAAAGCAATCTTCATCTTCATAAGGTAAGAGAGGCCCCTCTGACATCACGGGGCCTTCCAGCACACCGCTTCTCATTTGGGCAGAGGTCATATCTACTTCAGAGCACACACTTGTTTTGCTTTTCCTTTTCAGAGCCTCGAGCCTCTACAAATACCAAGAGACACTATTTCATTGTGAATAGACAGACCTGGAGAGTCTGAAAAAGCTCTCCTGTCCCTGTTATTTGACTGCTTTTACAGGAGTCATTTTAGGACAGGCAGCTGGGAGATCCTGGCTTGCACTTGTGCAGGCTGGAGCGTGCCAGATACCACCTCTGTCCTGTAACACCATTTTCCCAGATCCATGCCACATAAGCATCTCATTCTTGTGCAGCAATGCAGGAGGGGAGCAGATCAACGAAATGACATTGGATCTCTGGCGTGCCCGCAAGGACAGGGAGGAGATCAGCCTGCAGGACCTGGAGCTGGCCATCTCCAAAGCCGTGTTTGAAAACCCTCAGAGTGAGTCTGTGGAGCAGAGCCCTTCCTGGCAGGGTTAGAGCCCGGCAGAGGGAGCCAGGCCCATTCCAGGCAGCCACCGACACCACCTGCCACCTCCCAGGCCGCCAGAAAGGGACGAGGGGCTTTTGAGGGAAGGGAACTGTGATCCCCTTGAATTTTTGTGGCAAGGGAAAGAAGTAGCCCAGCCTTCCAAGCCAGCAGACCTGTTGCCACGTTTAGCAAAATTCTTTGGAGACAAGGTGTATTTATAGCTGGGGGATGGCAAACAGCACAGCATGCTTGCTGAAAAGACACCAAGACATGCTGATCCCCACTGCCTGCCTGGATCTCCTTGCTTTGCCCTTGTCACAGGGAGCAGAGCTTAAATTCTGACTAGTCAAGCTAAATCCCTCCATTCCTGCATTCCTGGAGAACAAGTCTACAGGGGTGGAGGGAGGTGACAACTGATGGGTTCAGCTCTCTCCTTGTACAAAACTGGAGCAGATCTGTCTTCATCTGAGTATTTTGGCTTCGCACAAAGTAGCTCTTCGAATTCCAGGGACTGCAGAGCCTCTGTGAAGGTAAAACCTGTCTCTTCCTTTGCTTTTGCAGGTGGATTCTGGAAATCTGGGATCATTAATGAACATCTCATTGATTTTGTTGTGCCCTTCCTACCGTTGAAGCGCCACCACGTAAAGCAGTGTGTCGTCAGTGAGCTTGTCCAGCAAGGCCTCGAAGTACGTCCAGGTGTTGTCCAGGAGGTGGCTGACAGCATCCCTTACTTCCCGGAAGGAGAGAAAATATTCTCATCAACAGGCTGCAAAACAGTGGCCTCTCGGATCAGTTTTTTCTTCTAGCCTTGGTGAGGGCCTTGCCCAGATCCACAGGGGGTGTATATGAAGCTGTAAAGCAGCAGAGCCTAGCGGGATGAGCAGTGGGAGCTGTGTGTTCCCTCTACGCAGCACAAGCGCTCTCCTGCTGAGCTCGTCTCTCCAGCCCCAAGGAGGCCGCCGCAGGATGCGGCTGTGGGACCAAATGCAAGTGATGGGATTTAAAGCACTTTACTGATGTACCCTTGGCCAGGTGAGGGTGGATATAACCAGCCTGGCGCACCACCCAAGATGTCTGTGACGACAAGGGGAAGATGCCAAGAGGGTCTGCAGCGTCAGGGAGGTTTCTCACCCTGTCAGCAGCATCCACCTGCAGCTCTCCCCTCTCCTGGGACCTACTGATATCCAACACATCCAAATTCTGAGCTTACAGAAGCATATTTTTTTTCCTATGGCATTTTAACAGGTTTTTTTAAAACCTTTTTAAGCGTGGCTGTGCCTTGGCTCCTTGGTACAACTTGACAGTGCTGGTGCCGATTCCTGCAGCACTGGCCTATGAACACCCTGAACATTGCAGCAAAGTTCTCTTTTCAAGGAAGTTTTAGAGCGAACTTCTTTCCAGCTTCCTTTCACTGTGAATAGGTGCTGGTAGGGACCAGCTTCACCATTAACAAGTGTGGGGGGTAATGTGGGAACTGGCAACACCTGAGCTGGCCAGGAGCCCAGCTCTTCCTAGGGCCCCCTTGTCCATCTTTCCCCTAAGGTCCAAAAGATTTCCCTGCAGCAAACCAGGAAAGTAACAACAAGAAAGACTTCTCGCTTGTTTTCCCAACTATGAAAAATTTCAGTCCTACCTCCAGGGGAGACCATGGTGCCACAAATGGTTTTGAAAATTCCTTTTATTCAGTGATGATTTCTACATCAGGTTGAGAGTTGGTGCTATGAGCTGTTGAGCCTCTTGTATGTCCATCTGCTGGTCAGACCTCGCAGGCTTTGGCTGGGCTGGTGTCCATTCAGCTTCTGGGGAGTGCCACTTACAACAGGGGACCTGGGGACAACTTAGAGGTTAGTGCTCCACACTGCTGAGCATGGGGTGGCCTTTGCACTGGTTTTAACCTCTGTGCAGTCAGATACGGGAGAACAGGTCAGAGGAACCAGAATCATTCACTCTCTGGAAACAAACTGCCCAAGGGGTGGGTGCAGGGACACTTCCCAAAGCTCCTGATGCTCGGGCCCTGTGCTGAAATGAGCTGCCAGTGCTTGGGACCATTCCAGCTCCAGGGCTAGAGCTTGGGGACAGTGATTTTAAACATCACCCAAATGCTGCCTGGGAGCTGGCCTACAAACAGACTCAAACATCCTGCCTCATCCAAAAATGTTATGCATTTCTAATTTTAAAATAAATCTTTTATGAAATAAATAGTTGGGGAACAGTCATTTACTTGGATTCCTAACTGTGGCTAGGGCGGAAGGATGTGGAAGATTTGCAGTTGTATGGGAACAGCTGCCTAATGCAATAGGACTTTGGGGATTTGGTGGCACGGAGCTGATGCTCTCCAATTAGGTGACTGGAAATGAGACAGCGGCTATTCCCTGGGGAGGAGACAAAACAGCAGTAGCTGGGCCAGATGTTCTCTGCAGGGGAGCCTGTGTGGGTCCAGGAAGGCCAGCGTGTCTCTCTGCCCCAGCAGCAGTTTTTCACCCCCTGCAGAGCACATCTATGGGTCTCAAAGTCACATTTTGCAGTGCTAGTGCCAGCGCAGCAGGAGGTAGAACCACGTCACCTCCTTCCCAGGGAGAGTCACTGTGTGCAGCCAGCCTGGTGGCCCCACACACAGAGGGTCGAGGCGAGGTGCCGGGCAGACATGGTGGCACAG